TTCTAGTTTGTTTTAGACACACAGAACAAGGAAACTTTATTGGTCATAGATTTGTGGCAACATCACCAACAACTAAAATTCGAAAAATAAAAAGATCTTTATATACATGTAGGTTGAGTCTCTCGGTGTATTGTTTTCATCATGGCCGGAAATAAACAAAGGAATCCTCGGAGGATCAAGTTTAAAAAATTCAAAGAATTGTGGTCCCCCGCTTTGGGTGTCTTTGTGGGTGGGATGTCATTTTTTATGACATATTGTGTCAAATCTTGTCACAGGTAATGCACATGTCAAATATGAAAGCCTTATCTCTTCTCAATCAAAAGTTATAAGGAAATGAAACACTGATGATCCCGTATGGCAAAATAGCGAAGATTAAACTTTTCTTAAATGCAACTTAAATATATTGGTACCCAAACTTGGGCCATCTCACAAGAAATACGATTGTGAAATATGAAAGCCCTAGCACTGCCTGTTAAAAAGTTATGGTCAAGGAAAATTTTTTCAGTGGTAGGTCAAACTCCAAGGTCAAAAAGTCCAAGATGTTAGTTTCTTAAGAAAGGTCTTGCAACAAGTATTACATATATGTGAAGTATGAAAACGCGTGTCCTAAACGTTCAAAAGTTATGGCCAAGGATAAAATTTTTAAAAAGTAGGAAAACACAAAGGTCAAGGTCAAAGGGTCAAAGTTCAATGAAAGGTATCATCAAAAGGATTACATATGTAAAGTATGAAAACCCTAGCCCTTACCGTTCAAAAGTTATGACCAAGGTTAAAGTTTTTTTATAAGTACGGAAATTTTCAAAGTCAAGGTCAAAAGGTCAAAGTCGTTGGTATTCAATGAAAGGTCTTGCCACAAAGAATATATATGTGAAGTATGAAAGCCTTACTTTCTACCTTTCAAATGTTATGGCCAAAGTAAAAATTTGGAATTTTTGTGTAAAAGTGGATCAAACTCCAAGGTCAAGGTCAAAAGATCAAATTTGGTGAAACCCAAAGAAAGGTCTTGTCACAAGGAATACCCATGTCATATATGAAGGTCATAGCCTCCAATAAATCAAATGTTATGAGCAAGGTTAAAGTTTTTGTGACGGACGGACAGACATACGGATAGACAAATGAGATTTAATGTCCCCTCGCTTTCGCGAAAGCGGGGGACAACATCACATAGTCGTCCAAATAAATACCGTATATGAACCTTGACAGTAAAGTTTATAGTCAGTCGGTCGGGAGAGTTGAGGGCAACCAAACAATTTTAAGCTAACCTGAGCTAAAATTTGAAATGAGCTTTTTCTGATACCCTTTGTCCGTCTATTCATCCACCCGTCCGTCTGTAAACTTTTCACATTTTCAACTTTTTCTCAAGAACCACTGGGCAAATTAACATGGTACAAATCATCCTTGGGTCAAGGGAAGTTTAAATTGTTAAAATGAAGTGCCACGTCTCCATACGAGGGGAGATAATCAAGAAAACAAAAAAAAAATCTTCTCAAGAACCACTGAGCAAAAAAGCTGAAAATCACTGGTATTTGGAAGCATTCTGGGGTAATGTAGATTCCATTATAGCTTCAAATCATGGATGTAGGGCGGGGCCACAGTAAGTTTTACATTCAAATATATAGGAAAAATCTTTTAAAAAGAACCACTGGGCCCATCGTCGCAAACCACGGCTAAAATGTACGATCCTCTCCCATTCTGGACGTGGTTGCATGAGAAGAGAATATTTTGTACCTCATTAAAGTATTGACCAATGCGAGTAAAGCATACTATTAGTCGGAAATTTACCTTTCATACGACCTTTCAATACCCAATCGCAGTGTACGAAATACTGCTGATGTAATTTGTTGATTTCAACTGCGATGGAAATAAAACTTGTCATTGACTGAATATGACGTCACAATATAGAGAAGAGTAAATATTCAAGATTACGACACTTTTTGTGATCAAGCAGCCACGGGTAGGAGAGAGGCTTGAGACGATGCACTGGGCCAGAAAAGCTGAACTTATGTGGAAGCATCTTGGTGTAGTAAATCATGACCCCGAGGTATGGTGGGGCCTCAATAGGGAATCAAGTTTTGCATTGAAATATAAAGGAACTATCTTTAAAAAGTCTCCTCTCAATAACCGATGGGCTAGAAAAACTGAAACTTATGTTGAAGCATCTTTGGGTAGTGTAGATTCTAAATTGTTCAAACATGACCCCCGGGGGTTTGGTGGGACCACAATAGGTATTACAAGGGGGCAGCATTGCTAAAAAAGTGTCAGGTGAGCGGTGTGGCCTGTTGGGCTCTTGTTTTAAGATTCCCTAAACGTGTTCACTGTATTTTTCATCCAACATGTATGTGTCGTTGATCGTACCTTTGACCTTGGGTTTTCATTTCATTATTTCAGTTGCACATAGCTTATGTTCTAAGGGAAGATAATGTCTAAAGAAAATTTTGTGATTTAGATAATTTTGAAAAAAGAATTAAAAAACCTTGTCTAATTATATGGATTTTGTCATGTCTAGATCAAAGTTTTACAAAGGAAAGCATTGGGAAAATCTTTTAAACACCTTTTCTCAAAAACAGCGAAGTCATGCATATGTAAGCATTCTCAGGTAGTGTAGATTCAAATTTGTTCAAATAATGTCCCGGGTATGTCTGGATAAAAGTCAATTTCAAGTGTAAATTAAATTGCCACATAGTATCCTTGGCTTTGCACCACTTTTATGTTTAGAATATAAATTAGTTCAAATAGCCAAAGGGCTCACGTGAAATGCCTTCTCTAATTTTATAGGCTGTGTGAAGATAAATGACAAACTTATGAAAATTTATAGTGACATTGCTTAAAATTCTCTTCTTGAAAATAAGAGGATCATAATTGGCAACATGAAATTTATAACTCATGAAACTAGTAGTGGAAGCATCATTTGGCAGATGTTTAGATTTAAAGTTTTTTTGGATTTGGCAGGGCTGCAACTTGTTGATAAATAGTTTTACAAAGGAAAGCATTTGGAAAATCTTTTAAACACATTTTCTCAAAAAGAGCGAAGTCATGCATATGTAAGCATTCTTAGGTAGTGTAGACTTAAATTTGTTCAAATAATGTCCCGGGGGTATGTCTGGGCGATAGAAGTTTTACTATACTTGTCAGAAAAATATACTGATAGCCTAAATAGACGTGACATGGGCACATTTTTATGTTGAACAAGTGTCTGTTCAAATAAAATGACAAGTCCCCATAATTTTTAAAAGACAACAAATAGCTTTGAAAACCACTTTTTATGTTTAAACTTTTAATCCAAATCTTCTTTCTGCATATTCCTAGCCAAAGATGCTCAGGTGAGCGACTATAGTTCCCTATGGGACTAATAAGTTGCGGATCGAGTTGCGGATCGGCGTTTATGCAAATTATCACGCAAGCCAATCGATTGATCACATCATGAAATCGAAAAATAAAACAGCTATTCCTTAATAATACTAAAGGAAAGAACCAATTTTGTTGTGTACAGTGTATTAATGAAAAATATTAAAACTATCATCCAGAAAATTCAAATAGAAATGCGAGAAAGCACAATCCCCTTACAGTATTTGTGCCCTGTTTACAAAAACAGTTTACGTTTCACGGATGTATTCAATTTATTAAACTCGATAAACACCACTGAGCACCGACTGACGATACTAGTGAGTAGGTTTTGTTTTCAAACATTTCTACTCTGAATTTTCTGGATTATAGATGTACTAGTAATGTTTTTATTAACACAACAAAATTGCTTCTTTTCTTAAATATAAAGGATAAAGTTATAGTTGAGAAAGTGCAAGGATCTGTTGATCAAACGCGTCCCGCAATTCGTAGTTCCAACAATTTCTAGATAAAATCCTTTTTTAAAATTTTCGTCAGAAACGCTATTGCATAATATACCAAGGTAATTCGTGATATTAGACATAAAATTTGAGAAAATATTAAGTTCAAATCTGGGTCTAAGCACCTTAAACCTAATCACATCACCTGATTTTATGATGAGTGTGACATACATGTATATTTCAAAAATTGCTGAGTCCGACACAAAGGAGGACATCCACAGCAGACTGGGCAAGACCAGGAAAGTATTTAGAGAGATGAATAACATCTGGAGGTCTGCACAGTACAGCACCAAGCTCAAGCTTTACCAGGGCTGTGTTGTATCAACTCTCCTATATGGATCGGAATGCTGGAGAAAAACAAGAGACAGATCTTAGCAAATTACGGTCCTTCCACACTAAATGCCTTTGGATATCCTGGCCCAAAAAGGTTACAAATGAAGACCTGTTGCACTGATGCAATCAAGAGCACATATGTACCATCATAATCAAACGCTTTTGGACACGAAAAGACACCCAGTCAACAACAAGAACTGGATCCCAAGAGGGCAATCGGAGGCCAAGATTATCTTAAATTGGAGAAGGACGATGAAAAGTGAGATGAAAGCCATGCACCAAACATGGGAATGAAGTAGGATGGTCCACACTAGACAAGAGTAGAGAGAGTCTGTTGCTCTACATACCACAGGGTGTAAAGGACGGTGATGATGATGATGAAAAGTAACTCTAAGGCAAACTCATCTGTTTAAAGAATATCAAAACAACAACAAAAGTAACATGCAAGTACTATATACAAAAAAGGTAAATCAGTTATATAAAGTCAATGAGAAATTCTAAAAAATGAAAATAATAATGGTGAGTCTAAAAAAATAAAGGCAAATAAAACTTTGCCATATAAGGAAAAAATCACATCCGCTTAACATGCAGCAAATGTCTTATATAACAATGTCTATGCAAAGTCACACACAGCGCCTGATAAAATGCAATGCATAAACAGGACTGCACAGCGGTACTGTAAAGCACACTACGTATGTATAGTCAAACACATATGGGTCCATGAAAGGTGCGCTGTACACTTAATACAAGCACAGTCAGTGCATGGTACTATGATGGTTGTCATGTGGTGTTATCACTGAGATGGACATTAAAGTAGCACTACGAAAAGTCTGGTACTAGGGTCCATATAAAGTGTGTGATACACAAAATACAAGTACAGTCAGTGCACGGTACTGTGATGGCTGTGGCAGTCAGTGTGTCTCAGATTCTTGCAAACTGTCTATCCAATACCTACAAGAAATTAGAAAATTGTATCAATATTCAACAGAACATACATACAGTCTAGAAATTTTATCAGCCTTTACTGGTTAGAAAAAGGGACACCAAGCCTCCAAAGGGTTTTTTGGGGGGTGGGGTGGGGATTGGTTGTAATTATTTTTATTTCATTGCTTGAGAAAACATGAAGTTTAAAAAAAATCCATAACAGAGGGGCATGAATTCATGGTCTCTTCATTCCATGAAAGCAACGAGAAGAAAACACCAACAAAATGGGAGGAATTCATGGTATACATTTTTTTGTTAAATACTTGCAGGGTGGCATTCTTTAAAATAAAGACTTGCGGAAAAGTATAAAGCCTTTTAATCACATCACATATAATAGTTTCCGGTGGATTAACTCACCAAAATCATCCTCCTCTTTAGTAGACGTAAAAGGAGGAATTCAGGTCTTGTTTCTTGGAGACTTTATGACGTCTCTGTTCTGGTACGTTACGGCGCATGGGTCTGTGCTCAAAATTGACTCTAGCCAACCACTCCATCTATAAAAGACAAACATCGTAAATTATACAATTAAATGTGACTAACTACAGTGTACCTTACAAGAAACTAGAGGTTCTGCGAGCACTGAGCTCACTAAATGATACCCCTGCCTCCCGTACCGGTGTTGTAGAGTAGGATTCCCCCCCGAGGAGAAATATCACACCAGAGCCAAATTTCCCCCTCTTTCTTTCTCAGAGTAGATTTCCCCCCTCGTTATAGATTCAATTCAAACCACAGCCGCAATATTTTTGTGAAAAAAAGATAAACGACAAACTGATTTTTAAAAGTAAATGAGTGGGTTTTTTATGTTGTAAGGCAAATCATGCAATCTCAACCAAAATATTTAACTTTCAAATTAAATGTAATATATTCTCAAAATATAATGAAACAAACGAAAATGGATGTTTAGATTGGTATATATTTTTGGACCTATTTTGGTTGTATATGAATACAATAATTAACTTTCTAAAATATTTAAGAAATTGTAAACTTACTCTGATGTTCAAATTTCTACCTCTCTGTAACGATACTTATTAATCTATACAATTTTTTTCCATATTAAATTTTTAGCTGTCCTTAAATTATATTTCATTGGAGGGGGGGGGGGGAATTGACTCTGGGGAAATCCCACTCTATAACTACTATACAGAGTGGGATTCCCCCCCCCCCGGAAAATTGACTCTGGTGTGTGATTTCCGTAAGGGAAATCCTACCTTAGAGCCAGTTTTCCTGGGGGGAAATCCTACTCTAAAGCAAGTTTTCCGGGGGGGACGGAGCAAGTTTTCCGGGGGGAGATCAGCCTACTCTACAAGACCGGTATAATGGCAGAGTCCATGTTTTGCTCTGGGAGACTCGAAATAAGTGTCGGACAAAAAGTAAAATAAAAGGTGCACGGTGGTATCATGTAATAAAAACTGTGAAAGTTTCCTTAAAATTCATTAATTATGTGGTATGAGAGGAGTTACCGAAAAGAGATAGGTATACCAAAGCATTAGAAATGGCACCTGTAAACAGACGGACAGACAGACGGACATCCCGATCATTATATGCCCCCAACTTTTCAACAAGGGAGGTGGGGGGTATAAAAAGAGAGAAATAACACCCCCGCGAAACTGTTTATATAGATTGCAAAGTATGTATATTGGATTCGAACAATGTTGAGTGCGGCACGTACCTGATGCGTAGGTTGAGGTATGGTGGGTAGCTCCCTACGCTCCTCAGACTTGTTGATGGCATGGGTCAACTCATACTAGTACAAAAATAGAATATTATTAATTTCTTTTGAAACAAAGAATCATTTATATAACCAAAAGAGAAATGAATATTTATAAATGCCTTAAATGAGTATTAACACACCCAGACTCTTACCCAGTCTTTAATGTGCTCTCTCCACTCGTGAGCAGCAGAAGTAAAGATTTGTTTGCACTGGGGAGAAAGGATAGAAAATATAGAGAGTATTCACTGGAGAGATAAGACAGAAGCTACAGATATGTACTGAAAGAGAGAGAGAGAGAGGAGAGAGATTAGAGAGGGAAAACTTACAGCTGATTTGGCCGCCAGGGCAAGCATCACCTCGTACCACTGACGACTGTCATCTGAAGAGACGTCTATACGGCGCTAGAATAAAAAGAAACATCAGTTATTATAAAAAGGAATACTAGTATATGTAATTTTTTTGCATTTCCTACATGTACATGTAACTGCACTTCCAGATAATTACACAAATTAAATACTGTTCATCAAAATGTATTAATTATAGCTTACAGATTAAAGCATTTTTAAAACTTTATTTCAAGGCAAACAAGTCCAAATTCACTTTCTATCAAAATACCAGTAATGTACATGTATGTAAATTTATTGCAAACAAAATATTTATTGGTTATGTACGTATACGCCTATTTACTTCTGTGTGTAAAAAACTAACTTTCATTTGCAAATATATTTTAAATTTTGTGGTAATGCTAACTTATGAAGTGAAAATCACAGGCAGATTATCGGTATGATAATGTCAAAAGTTGCAGATAAAAAAATAAATTAGAAATTAGTAGTATTGCAATTTGATGCTGAGAAGTGAGCAATATTTTTTCAAGTGAAACTTTGAAATATTTTCAATATATACTAGTTATAAAAAAGAAAGAAAGAAAGCAATTCAGGATTTTATAATATAAATCAAATGTAGGTTATTGAAGACCCCTCCCCTTTCTTTTTTAATTGTCAAAGGGGGACAACTCAACTTTTGGTTGTTATAGAGTGCGCTCCCCTTTGTTTATTTACGGATGTTCGGTGAAATATTACTTATAAAGAACAAATTTGTATATGTTTTCTCAACATATCGTACCTTATGAAGTGAGTATTCATTCAAATTGATGTGATCTAAATTGAATTCAGCAGAAAAAATGCAGATTGTTTTGAAGAAAAAGCCCGAAAAAGATTTGTGTAATCTATAAGACTTATCGCGCATTTCCTCTATTTTGTGTTTTTGTTGATCTAATGTAAGGATCTAGGGTCTTACTGTATTTCAGAAGATCTTATATTAAATCCAACCCCTACCTCCGCTATGAATCAACCCCTCTATATCCCTACGCCTTTATTAGCAACATGTGTAGCACTGTAGCTTAACATACAGCTAGACAATATAGATTTGTGGGTTTAATTTGAATGGCAGCTTATACATTCTTCAAATTTATCAGCAGTTTTGCTTTAAATCTCAAATATCAGGAAATAAGCGATGCTCTAATACATTGTGCTAGCTAGGCTTCCCTTCAACGTCTTTAAAATTTGTGTACCCCCCCTTCCCCCAATATCCAATGGCACCGAATCTCATAAAAACAAGCATTTAAATCCAATAAAATTTTATTTCCAGAAGAATTACCCTCTTAGATACACTCTGGCTCTTTCTCTCAGAAGATCTTTGTCTTTTCATAGTGAAATTTGAGATTTTTGTCGCTCTGTGAAAAGCACGTCTACTCTCTACTGATCGAAGTGAGTAACTAACAACAGTAACCACAACGCAACGCTACCTAGCAGTTACTAAGCATGACGTCATCGCTAATGACTACACGTAAAGCTAGCCTTCAAATGTTAGCTGTACTAGAAAGTAAAATTATTATTTGCTTACCTCATATGTCACCTAAATATTCAGGATATTAGAAAAAAATCGATCACATTCATATTAAACGAACAAAGTTAATTGATGTGTGACGTCATATGGCTGGAAATGGCATAGCCTAGACCTCGCGATGCTATGCTCTAGGTACTCACATCTAGGCCTATATATGTGTTTTTGGCTCCGCTAAGATTCTTTTAATTGCTGTAAAATAATGCACTGAACAATACTGTAGATTCCTAAATATGCTCGAGGAATTAATTATCGCGTAATTTCGCGAAAAGCACCAATCGCGATATAGAATTACTAACTTTTATTGCCATGGTTCCGAAATGAATGTAAAATCTCTTAATCAACCGTCTACTCGAGAATCGACGTAAAAGAGCCATTGATTATACTCGGGAAAATAAGGAATCTACAGTACTGTTCACAATTAAATTTTATGTTATTACAATACTAAAAATTATTTTTAACTCCAGTAAAATTATTGATCCTCAAACGCAAAAGTAGAAATACCATTCTTTATTTTCATGGAATGTTGTAGATATTGAATTTGTGCAATTTATTTATAAATAGATCTTTAAGGTGCAGTTGCATAAAACACTAGCTCCTTGGGTAATATGACTTACTGTTTAATCTAATATTGATTCTTAAAATCCATTTTGCCTGGCAAATTATCAATACATATGTTCGAGACACATAAATAATGTTGATCCCCGTTTACCCTGCCATTTCTAAATATTTTATTTTAGCGTTTTGTCATGTGTATAACTCAATTTCCAATAGATACTTCTTCTTGATTACATTAACCAATCTCTACCCCTCGACCTTGACATTTCAAATGAAATCGTAACTGAAAATGAAAAATGACTTACTCTTTGCCTTCGATAATTTAAATATATATGGATAAAGTTAAAAAAAATCTTAAAACACATTTACGTTTGCTTGTTATCGTTTGAATTTTGTCAAACCCTCTAAAGAAATCATTTTATAAAAATTAGAATAACTTGAAAAAGTTAGAAAAAAACATATGAATGTAACTTTAGGGATTTATTATTTATCTGAACTTATGTAATACTAGTACGTGCATGTAAATTTTGACTGAAAATACTCCAATTTCTTTTTTATTTTTATTTTGATCAGAGACATAAATAACATTATTATTTGTTATTTTATTTGTTATTTATGTCTCTTTTTGATACAAATTAAAATCTCTAAGTTAATAAAGAAAAAAAATCATGTTGACACCAGAATAGAAGTGCACTTTTTCTTGCATTATATACAAAGAGGGATAACTCTTTCCTGAAAAAAAAATCGATCAAAACAATCGGGCTCGACGTTTCTATTTTCTTGTTACTACGCCGCCATAGTTGTTTACATTCGATATTTTGAGCGTGTCATAACATAACCACGTTTTCGGGATTAAGCAACCATTACATTATCGGAAGAATATTCTGGAACTCGAGAAACAATACTAGAAGTGTTAAGGTAACATAATCTTGACTTTTATTTGAAATTAAAGGAATCAAAAGACATTGCAGGTGCTTGGAAGTGTTTTTGTCTAAATTTTGTTTGGAAATAATAAATTTAACTTTTGTGAGTATTGTCATTTATATAAATCAATGAAAGGTTTTGATATCTTGATAATTATTACAAATTTATATATATCATATTGTCCTTATGTAAATTTTCTGTGGATTTCATTTTGGTATATTTTTTATAGTAACTCTTTAATGCAGTACATTAATTCACATCAGATGTACATATTAGCTTATTCAACACGCGAAAAGTTTCATGTTTTAATAATAATAACTCATTTTAGCACAATTTTTGACAAATTTTTAAGTGTAAGATTTACTTATTCAACTTATTTAAAGTTTTGAAATATATACTGATATAGCCTTAAAATCTGGCAGATGTCCAGCCAACTGTTTGTTACACAATTGTTCATTTGTCCTTTATCATTTTTTATACATGATAAATTGTAGACTCTATAAGCATTATGTAATTTCCACAGTCAGTATAGTATAAACTTTATATTTGGACTGAATCCCTTTATAATGTACAGTATGCCAAAAAACAAGCTGGTTAATCTCACCAAGATTAATAATTAAACATGTATATGTAATAAATCTAATTTTAGATGTTGGATTTTTACCATATCCTTATCCAAATTGACCATAACTATATTTATTTTTCATATAGGAATAGGATAGAACAGCAGCAATGCCTCTGATAGAAGAAATCACTTCAGAGCCATCAACAGGGGGGACATCAACCTCCACAAAAGTTCAGATTGAAGTCGTGGACAACCTCGCTCAACAGAAAGAGAAAGGTCAAGGTCAGTGATAAGTACAAAGTACAATATGAGTTCTAGGATTATGGAACTGTCAGAAGATCAGTAGGCCTGGGGGCCATAAAACTTAAACGAGCTCACTTTTGATCTCAGTCTCACTTTTTTACAAAGGATATACATGTATATAGTGGAAACTGAGATCAAAAGTGAGCTCGTTTAAGTTTTATGGTTCCCAGGCCTGTAACTTGCTGGTCTGAAAAAATTAGGATGGACGACCATAGAGCTACAGATCTGCAGGTAAGGATTATGATGTTCCAGAAAATGAGATAAAATTTACCTCTCAGAAACTTGAGGCCATCTTTAATATAAAGTTTGTTTTCCCTCTCTCCATACTCAGGGGGAGAAAATGGATCAGTAGGTTGGTCGAAAAAAGTTATTCCCAAGAAATTTTAACATTTACATTGAAAGGATGAGAAAAATCAAGAATAAAAAGGGAAAAGGTTATCTTCTCTTAGATGATAAAAATGTTTGAATCAGGCCAGCTTTATCCAGTAGAAAGAGGGAAAATAATCAAGTTTTAGAGATGGCATGATTTTTTAAATAGATATTTTAAATACATGTTTTTGTTTTTAGAAACATTAGACAACAGAAAACCAAATACTGAAACAGACAAAACAGATAACAACTGTAATGGGAAAGATTCCACAGACAAAGAAAACCAACAGCCAGAAAATCAGAATGACAACAATCAAAAACAACAGACAAACAAACAGACAACAGAAGACAACAAACAACTAGCTAAGAAAGAAGAGGGTGAGGGCAGCTGGCCAAGGTATGGGTTATTTATTGTTTTGTTGAAATTACAGATAGGTTCTACAAGCAATGGTGCATTTAAGGAAATTTTTATCAGTTCTTAAAATATTTTGCCCAATTTATAAATTTTGCTTTAAGTTTGAAATGCATAAAAACACAGTATAGAAAAGCAGCTATTTCATCAAACATTTTTCAATGGTATTACTCAAGATTTTATTGAAAGATGAAACTCAGTATATCAAACACTGAAATTTTTATTAAAATGGAAGTTTAAATTGATTAAATTGGAAGTTACAACCACTCATTTTTTAAGTGTTTAACCCTTGATATCCTGAATTTTTTTCACTCAATCAAATTCAAGATAATGCAGTTAATTGACTATATTTGAATAATTCTTTCTTTTTTAATTTAGTTAAATTGAATTTTAACAGATGTGATCATTAAAATTGTTCCTATCAAATCATTTATAAATGTGTATTAATTTAATGTTCATATTTTATAGAATCACAAAGAAGTTTCTGAGACAGCACTGCAAGGATCTGAAGCTATACTTGACCCCTGAACTAAATGATGTTCTTTATCTCCATTATAAAGGTATGATATTTAGGCCATTATTAATATACTATATACATGTAACTATTATTCCTATGGATTTCAGAAAGTATCTTTGTACATTGACATTAAAATGTATTCCATGTGGGAAGAATATATTTAAGAAACACAGACCTGGATTTGGGTATTATCTACAATGTTTGTTGTCTCCCAACTACTCTGACAGATTAATATTCACAGAACAGTGCAAACTATCTTAACCTACACCTGTTCAATCCAATTTACTGTTACTTTCAACATTCATTTTTATTTCCATTTTATAACCTGACACTTTGTCTATTCCACAAAAAATTGTCTCCTCGTGCTTGTCAATTAAAACAAGATTTCATTGTACTTCCTTTCTTTCTTTTTACAGGTTTACAGAAGATTGAGAATTTAGAAGCATACACGGGACTTCGCTGTCTGTGGTTTGAGTGTAATGGTATCAGGAAAATTGAGAATCTGGACCAGCAGGGAGAATTAAGGTGTCTGTACCTACAACAAAACATGATAGAGAAGATAGAAAACCTGGAGCCCCTCCAAAAACTGGACACCCTTAACCTCAGTCACAATATCATCAGGAAAGTGGAGAACCTAGGTAGGGGTTTGTTTGATTCATTTCAATATGAATTGGGTAAAATATGGGGGGGGGGGGGGAAATACATGTACACTATATGTCTCTAAAGTGTAACATTAGTGCCTACAGAGTATATTTTTCTTCTCATTCATAGTCCCAAAGATGGTTGTATTTTATGTTGGAATTTCTTTAATTTTTTCTTTGGGCTTTTCAATGAAATAGAAGGTGCTTCTTTAAAAACTTTTGATGCATATTAAATGGGACTACAAGCTGTTTTTAAAAATTTTCAAAACATGTAACACTTACAGGCACTAGCATAGCATTGCTAATTTTTCGTCTGTAAATTCTAGATTGCATCCCAGCCCTGAACACCTTGAATCTTTCCCATAATCGACTAACTGATGCTGAATCCTTAGAACATCTCGCTAAACTCCATACAGTCAGTGTCCTTGACCTAGCACACAACAGAATAGAAGATCCCAAGGTCATTGATGTTTTTGAACAAATGCAGAACTTGGTAAGGAGCAGATGCAATTTTTTCATATTTATTGAATTTTATTGTAACATCATGTAATAGCAAAGTTTAACATCCATTGTAATCATCATATTTGAATATTTATTAGTATTTGATTAAAAGTAGAAACAAAAACCTTAAATGTCCATAATTAATCCATCATGAATTAGTTGTTTAATACCTGCTCTGTCAATGCAAGGATGCTTATACTCTGCAAATTATTTTAAAGTCTTCTGTAATTCACCACATTTTTTTATCGATGTCCTGGTTTTTAAACATTGAATTATCTTGTCTTTTATTTCTCTTGTAGAAAGTACTTAATTTAATGGGAAATGGCTTACTGAAATACATCAAGAACTACAGAAAGACATTAATTGTCAGACTGGTAAGTACAGCGTAGCAGTTTCAGTAATTGTTTTGGAAAATTGAAAATGAGCCATATATTTTCTTCAGTATTTTATTCCTGGATTGTGTACTTATTTTCAGAAAACCTTAACATACCTTGATGACAGACCTGTGTTCCCCAAGGACAGAGCATGTGCAGAAGCCTGGTAATTTTTGTATTATTTATTAATATTATTGAATAACTTTCTGTAAAAAAGATCATCTTCACACAAATATACAAAAGAGGTTTGCTTGCACAGATCCAATCATTCTGCAGGAAATTTTCTCATATGCCAAAAATTGAATGAGTTTTAAAACATTTTAGGGGTAGAGGAGGGGTGGAGGCAGAGAGAGAAGAAAGAGAAAGATGGATTGACCATGAGAGGAGGAGGATACAAGAGAGTGTTGAGGGTAAGGAACCATTCACTATAATCAGTATATAAGTTAAATATATATGGTACATAATATTTCTATATGGCTAAGACTTTTATGCTATATTGAGGAATATTGCACATATCAATAAAATTTCAGCAATGCTCAGCATCAGAAGGAAAAATGAGAAAGAGAAGATAGAAAAGGATCGTAAAGAGCGGGGATTGGAGGGGGAAGTGGATGAAGACAGTGTGGACTGGCTGACAGGAAAATACAGAATGAAGGGGGAAGAGGTAGGGGCCAGGGTAAAAGTGGAAAAGGATTATAAAATTAAGAGACTTGCATGGGTAAAAAAGTTAAATATGACCCATGGAGAAAGCTAGAGATAACATTGAAAATTTCCCTTTGTACAGTATATGTTTGATTTGTAGAGAAATTACACACAGTCATATTGGTTTATTTTTTATTTTTGTTAGAAAAGGTATAATTTTTTTAAAAACATGATTTTATGTATAGATCATAAAATGATTATTCTAATTTTAATTGGCAGAGAACGTCACATGATATTCCTCTTTTGTGATGTCAGAAAAGGACATCGCAAGACACTGTTATCACAGGCAAAGAACATGACATCATAATATAGAGAAGGGTTTTAACCATTGTCTAATGACATCCAGTGAGTCTGCATGTGATTATATAATACTGGACTTCAAGAATAATTTGGTTAATTTGACATACCTGGCATTATGTTTCATTCAGGAATATCAGTCTTTGACTTGATAAACTAAACATTATCAAATAGCCATATCTATAACCAATTATACACTGAAGTCCATAATTGTATATTAGTTCAGGAATATCAGTCTTGGATTTTATATATTCAACAGTCTTGTCATCTGAGATTATTAGGTACAGCTAAAAATCTGAGGGAAAATATTCTGTTATTTTGCAGTTTTTAGGAATCTTTCAACCCCAGAAATTTGAATCTTTTTTCCTAATCATTTGTAGAGGAAACTTCAGATGAAGATAGCACAAGGCTCTTCATCACAGAAATCTCAGGTGAGAAATTTATAGAAAAAATTGGATAATTTATCGGAAATTATAGATGGTCCCAATTTCCTTAAGCATAAAGTAAATAATCAGTTCTTTAATTTGTTTGTAGACAAAAAGAGCAAGGATGATTTAGATGTAAGTATATATGGAAATACATTTCTAATGCACTGTCTTCATAATCCAAACCTCATTCTGTTACCTTTAAAGGTTTTTAAAAACAAAAAAGACCTGGTATTATTTGATATTTTTATTTTTTATTTTTGTATAGGATCTCCCAGATCTAGAAGATGTTGATGTTAATGAAGAACAACTTATCACCATAGCACAACAGAAAAAGGTAATTTTTCAAAAGAACCATTCTCTCCCTAATAAGAATACATGTATTTCTTTATTTAATGATAGGAACATCATTCTAATCATACATGATAGGAAAGAAAAATTTTTGATATTAAAATCAGTGGTTTTGTAATCGTAATTTTTTTAATTTCATCAAGTATTTTGCTTGTTTTGGCTTTATTCCAAGTTTTAGCTTGAATTTTCTCAAACGCATTTTCAGACCACATACAAGCCAAAGATTGAGGTGCTGTCAGACAGCAGTGACAGTGAGGAGGAGACTGAGGAAACCTCACAGCCATTGATCCAGGAATCCAGCACCTCAAGGGCACCTCAGACCGAGGAGAGTAGTGGCTCATCCCGACTGCTGATTGAAGAAATTCCCAGCGAAAAAGAACCTAGATTGACAGGTGGAAAATCCAAAGCATTTGGGGCATCTGGAGGAGAGATCAATCTGGATGCCATCACTCCAGAAATTCCAGGATCCTATGATGTGCAGGCTAGGGCTCAGTCAATGCATCTCCTACAAGGCCTCGGGGCACTTACAGGCTCTCGGGTGTCAAAAACAGGAAGGTCAGACTTTTCTGAGATGGAAGAGGCTTCTAAGAAGATGACAAAGGAGGAGAAAATTCAGGACCTAGCTGCTAATATTGGATCTACTACTGTTGATCCTTCTATAAAAGACTGGGATGATTCTGAACTAGATTGACAATATTGATATTCTGTACTTTGGAAAAAAAATTGACTTGCATAAGTTTGGGAAGTTAAAAAAGGAAACCTTGCATAAGTTTTACAACAAAAAGGGCTTTGAAGTTAATTCAGTTCCACAAAAATTATGTTTTGCTAATCAAAGTTTTTCAACAAAAAGTTTCATGCTTTGACAAAATGTTAATGAAGATTTTAAAAACCATCATTAAGGTATAAAGTAAATTTTACCAATTGACATGTAAGCAAATACATCCTATCATCTTGTAGGTATTAGTACAGGTGTGCTGATTTTTTTTCAATTCATTTTGCAAAAATAAGGACACATTTTCATATGATTGTTCATGCTGTGTTAGTGCCAAGCAGCTATCTAAAAGTATTCATACCGTCCATATAACTTGTCATATTTACAATTTGATTGTCACACAATTGGTTTTCATTGGAATAAGTCATTAAGTTATCAAGTAAATTTTATTTTAAAATTATTTTAAAATATTTGATGATCAAACATTGTGAATTTCATGCATTTCCATTCCTTTGGTTCAAATCCAAACAATCTTGTTTAAAATCTATTAAACAAGTAAAGAATATTCTTTTTTTTGTTTTAAAACCAAAAACAGGTATTACAGGTGTGCTAATATATAAATGTAAATTTCATTTCAATTTGCTATTTATTAAAAAAATTTCATTTTGCTATTTGTTTAAACCATTTTTATGTTTTATTATTATTATTATGTTGGCGATATCTTGAGCATTACACATAATTTAACAAAAGTGTGGTGCGCCGTCACTTCAGGAGACGTCATATTCACACAGTCATTTTCATGGGAATCGCATGGAGACAAAATCACTATATTTCTGTTAGTACTTCAAATATCATGTCAGAAATCTAAATACATAATAATAGGACAATTTAAAGATACATTTGAGAAAATTTTTATCGCGAAGTGCGAATTATAGAAAAAAAGTTTAAATTTTGATTCCGCATGCTTTTGCTTCAGTTTTTTTGTTGTGCTCCTTACCTCTCCATCAGCGATATCAACATACCGATAATTTTGGAATTTTTTTAAAATCAGAAATTTTAAATTTATGAATCAATGTATATTTCTGTGAAATTTCATAACTATATGACAACTGTAAGAGTAAATAATAGCACAGTCCGCGTAATTTTTGAACAGCCCTCGTATATCTTGAAGTTTTTCTTGCTCTTATGGAGTTGGAGAGAACACAGTTTGACTGTATATTTCAGAGAGGCACCAACTTTGGATGTCATTTTACATCAATAAGAGCTATGCTACATAAACCTTTCACTGAATTACTGTAGTTATGACTATAGATACAAGAGACATTCAGTAGCAAATAAATGATTCAGACTGTCATGGCAACAACATTCATCAAAACCTTATAAAGATATATAAATAAGCCTTTGTAGTCCATGTGTACCAAGATTCACTGAAATCAAAATCAAAACTGTAAAGATTTGTCTTTTGAGAGAATTTCAACAGTTTGGTACTATGGTTCAGTGTTCAGCAAAAAATTACATACTAAAGTGCAGTTTATGGCTGTATCAATTTTACAGACCATCACTGTAGGAGGAAGGGCATACTGAGAGAATTCCACAGACATTTTCATTTTGAGAAGAAGATGTCAAAATTATTCTTCAATATCAATTCACTATACAAAGAATTGTATGTCGACTGGTGGAGGATGGGCATTATACCACATGTCAAAATCTCTCATGGTCTTTGACAATAGAGCTAAAATTAGAACAACTAGGCACACTTGTTTCTTGTCTTGATAATTTCTTAACATTTTACAATTACAACAATACCAGAAGTGTTATTTTTTTATTTATTTATTTACATAACATGATTTCCATATACAAATTTACCACAGTATACATATACATCTACCATCATGACTAGTTTCAACATCTGCTTATTGCAAGTGATACATAGATTATAACAGTATACTTTCCCAGTCAGATACAAGTCAATACAAAATGGAATGCAATTAAATTAATTCTTGGGACTAAATCCACAAATTTCAACATGTTTATCACCAAACTGTTCAGTACAAATGTATAACATACTATTACAATCAATAAAAGCATTAATAATTCATGTGCATTCAAATCACAGTTTCATACCCCCATATTAGGGTCCTTTATAACAGTTCTACCATTTCTCCTGTTTGAACAAAGGTACTAATGCAGTAAAAATTGTCAGGCAGGGTTGCAAGGGGCAAGAACAAAATATGAGACAGTTGCAGGATGTTTGAATGGGAAAATGAAAACCATCAAATTAAGAACTAGGTAATTTAAAATTGTCTCTATGTATAACCTTAGAAATTCCAGCCAATGTATTCTGCTTTACAATTTCTTACAAACCATTAGTCTCTATGTTTAAACAAAAGTAACAATATTTAAAAATCAACAAAGGAATAACTTTGTTCATAAAGTAAATTTTACAAAGGAGACCTATGTAATATAAATATCACTAAATCGTCATGGATTTGACCTTGACCCTCAAGCCAGGGGGAGAAGATATATTACCATCCGGCAGTAATAATGTCCAACCATACTGAATATAAAATAACCATTCTCCCACAGTGTGGTGTCTAGCGTGCGGAGTCTACTAAATCCAGGCTGATCTTGTAGTACACGTACGGGTAGTAGTCTACGTTACTGAGTCCTACTAAACCTGGAATCTCCATCTGTCCTGCCTACAAACAGAAGAAAATTTATACATTATTACATGTGCTTATTGGTACTTATATGAAACAGAACTTTACAATTTACAACACTTGGCATGATTTTTTTTCTTCTCATTTTTTACTATACTCTTAGACATAATTTCAGTCAGATTTATATCTAGAGTTCTCAGACTTGAAATAATCTCATTTCCTTCTCTACAATTAAGAAATTACAAAAATGTCTGTAGCTTTTGATTGACAGACTACAAGATCATAAAATTCATTTATGTATCCATAAAAGACAGAGAGTGGAGAGAAAACGTACATCTTGTGATGCTGGAGAGTCTAAATGAGCATACAGCTGGTTCAGAACTTCTCGTAATTTTCTGGTTGTCTTCTTGTGGGGCTGCATTAACACAGCCAAGAAATTGACAGGTAAGCCATATCTACAATGAACCAGCCTTATTTTTATAAGTATAAATTACACTCATTATTAATTTACCCTGCATTAAGAAATTATTTTAAAAATTCATAGGACTTTAATTATATGAATCCATAAACACTTTCAACAAGGACAAGAAAAAGACCACCTTGACCATCTTAAAAACACACACCTTAGAACTGATTCCACAAATATTCTTAATGCTTTGACATGGATCCAAGCAGAGAAGCTTTCTCCAAAGTTTACTTTAAGCCATTTAACCAGCGGACCCTGAAAAATATGATGACAAATATCACAAGGCAAACCTCATTAACACAAATTTGAGGCATTGATAAATCTTGCAGTTTTGACCTAAAATCTATGAAAACAGATTATCCAATAACCTTGAAAATTTGTTAATCACAGCAAAAAGTTCATCATTTATAATCAATTTGTTCTTTTATTGTGTGGTGTCAAGACAGATTTGTTTGCCAGATAGCTCAATTGGTAGAGCACCTGACCGGAGATTCAGAGGGCCTGGCTGGAATCTCTGTTTGGTCTGTTACATTTTCCCCTTACCTGTTACATTGGTGTGGTGACCAGGAAAATATGATCCAAAAATGTCACGGGAAAGGGGGGAAATGAGACACACTAGACAGGGATTCAAACCAGGGTCCCCCTAAATCTCAGTCAGGTGCTACACCAACTGAGCTATCTATCCATTAACAATTGAATCCATCTGACCATCACAACTGTTAAATCTGATGTACTGAATTGTTTACCTTTAAAGGAAAAATGGTATCTAATATCTTTTTTTAAAGTTTTCTTGGAAATACTCACATATAATTTCTTCTTGTCATCCTCCAGCTTTGAGACTTCCATTTTCCCATCTGCAATGTCTTTTTCATTATAAGTGAAATCCCTCACCATAAATCTGAAAACATTAATGGAATTCTGTCATTTTTTCCCCAAAAAAGACCGCTGTCCACATATGGCAAATATTTCCAAAGCAAGTTTTCTTCACAAAAATCAATATTATAATTTTTCTAAATAAGATGCAGGCCATGAGCCAAACAGATCTCCTGATTGAGTCACTTCTTCCCTGATTGACTTTATCTAATGGCTTTTTAAACAGGAACATTCCTTGTATTGTTGGTTTGTACAGTTGTCTTAACCTGTTGTAATGCCAGCTTTGAACAAACTTGAAACAACATTATAGTGGACTTTGGACTTTTGTGTTTTCAGAGGTTTCAAAATATGCTGACAATTTTTGGCCCTCCTTTTTTAAAGGAGATTCTTCCGAAAAAGATAAAGAAATTCTCTATATTCTTAAGTAGAGTACTTAATTCCCTATAATGTCCCCATTCTTTCAAAAGGGCCATATCATATATCAAAATACATGTATCTACACAAGGAGGGTTTTCATATTTTCTATGGACCACAAGTTCATGATTTTTTTTTTCAAATTACCCTATCTTTGAAATTTCCTTTCAGGAAAATTACAATTATTTTCTTTTGGTCAATACACTGAATTAGAATAAATGTATAATTTAAACACCATTTAGAAGCATTTCCAGCAGAACTAAGTGTTTGAATGCAGTATTAAACCTACTTGTTCTCTCTACATCTGTTTTTGAAGTCTTCCGCCACTTTTCTGAAAAGTGTCACTGAGCATAGGCAGTTCTCATCATCTTCAAAAAGAGTCCTGAAACATTAAATTATTATTATTAAATTATATATATAAACAAGAGGTCCAGGGGCCACATCACTCACCTGAGCACTGGCTAAGAAAAAACCCCCAAAAAAATCTGTATAGTTTTAAAAAGCTTAAATGCATAAGTGTTCTTGACCTACCCCCTTAAAAGAGAGAGGGGGTATGATTTGAACAAAAATAAATCTACACTAACTAAGCATGCGTACATACTTTTTTGATTGACTTTTTTCCTACGAGTTTGAACTTTCATTGTGGCCCCACCCTACCCCAGGGTTGAATCTACACTACTTAAGAATGCTTTCATCTGAGTTTCATCTTTCCTGTCCCAGTGGTTCTTGAAATGAAGATTTTTAAAAGATGCCATTAATTCATCGCTAATTCATAATTATCTCCCCTTGGCTGTATATAAACAAAACTCACCTAGATGATCTAGGAACAATCATATCTGTCAGTGTTTCATATTTAGCCTGCCAATCATGGATGATGTTTCTGAAATTACCGGTAAGATATCATTAATTATTGCTCAATTAAGTTTGTACTTTATTAAATCCCTGAAAAAAAAAATCTGACATCTGACACAGAATTCTAATGTGAAATGCTCCATTTGATTTTAAAATTTCCAGCTACTATATACCGTAATTTTCGGGTTATAGGTCGATACTTTATTTACTCAGAAAAATATATGAATTCGACCATTCTAAGGCTCAAGTTTACGAAAAAATGCCCCCAAATCAATAAAATTTACGTAAATTTCAGAGCAAATCTGTGCCACTTTTATAACTTTTTTCATTATTTTATGCAGAAAAATTAATGCCTAGGTAAACAATAAAATATTTATTCTATAGCTTTCTTACAAAATAAATTCCATTAAATATCCGTTGATGACAAAGGAAAAAACTGTGCTTCATCAAGTTAATCATTCCTCAACGTGTTATCCATTGCCATCATGCGGTAGCCATCTTGTGAAGTTAGGAAGTCGCTATCGTTTACTAAAAGTAAAACCGCAAAATCAAAATTTAAAATACGGAAAAATTTTCAAGATCACAAGTGTAGTGTTTTACCATTAATTAGTAGATTGATAAATTGAAATAGTATTAATTTTTTGATTGTAAAAGTCTTATATTTATTATAATGTAAAATGAGTGAAATAAATTGTTGCCAGTCAATTCCTAAAAATCGTTTTGAAAGATAGTTTGAAGTTTTACAAGCAATTATGGAAATATACATGGGGATGATAAAAAATTAATTTTATTGATATGGAGTTTTACAAGCAAAGAATTAGTAATAAATGCAGTTTACAGAAATTTGATTTAAAACAGAAATATAATTTTAACTGATATTATAAGGTTTATTAAAAGCTTCTTCGTACACAAGAAGTACACTGAATTACCGCTATACAAAGATTGGCTTCTAACGAATTTTAATTGTCTGACAGATAAAAGGATTTACACTGTGTGTACGCGCAAAGGTTTCAACACCTGTGTTGGTTTAATACCCACAGGGCATGATTAGCAAATCCACATGCCGCTATAGGGTATTAGTGTTACACATCATTGAACAAACAAAGCCATGAAATTCATAATGACTGTCAAATTGTGGATGTACCGGTACTCTCAATTAAATTTATAAATTAAACTTACAGCGTGGTAATATTATTTCAATTCTTTACTGTTGTTTTATATATACATTCAATGGTCGTTTGCGGGTTTTAGCAAATCCCTGAAGAACAAAAATGAAAATGGCGGACATCGAAGCAATTGTCGTCCACCGGTAAATAAATAACTGAATAAACTATATTAGGAATGTGTCCAAGTTGTTCTGAAATCAGAATTATTATTCTTTGATCTCGGGTATTTCCCGAATTATAGCTGAAAATAAGAAACATATTTACGTGTTATTTTTGCCTCTGGTTTAACAACAGTATGAAACTACGGAGGCATTGAACAGGCAAGTTGGAGAAAAAAAGTAGTAACACAATTCAAAGATGTTTTAACTACATTTTTTTAAAAACTTTATTTAAATGCTGTACTCATTAAAATACCTGTTTGTTTTCTTGATACGTTCATGTCACGGAATTGCCCCGGTAATTTTAGAGGTTTACCTGTTCTAATATGTTGTATCTGCGTAAGAATCTTTAGAAAACGGGAAACAAAGCCTCGTCCTATATAGTAAGTTCGTCCTATCTTATGATTTTTCAAAAATTAAGGCTGAAAATGAGCCTTTCGACCTATATACCCCATCGACTTATAATCCGAAAATTACGGTAAGTTATAAACTTACAGTCAAACCTCAACATCTCAAACTCAATGGAATCCCCCCCCCAAAAAAATCAGATATCTGATGTATCTGTGGGGTATTTGATCAAGTGGAGGATCCCTTATTTTTAATTCTGATAACTCACTCACCTTGGTACAACCACTAGCAGAGTCTGCAGGTACTCTGAGTCCAAAACAAAATCCTCTCGCTTCACAAGCTCGGCAAGGTTTCTTGTGAAAAGACTTCCACTGAAACAATCATTTTTTTTATATACATTTAAAGTGTTCATTTTGAACAAAATGATTCATTCAAACTATGTTTTCTAAAAGTTAATGGAACTAAAAACAAAAAGACATCAAAAAGTTAAAGATATTGAGAGTACAATTCATAAAGAAATGTTGTTGTTACTTCCAAATTCACTTTGAGATACCCATGATATTCAAGATATTTATATCTTCAAAATATCAAAGTTCAAGTGAACATAAATTTCCTAACAGCTTCTACCTCATGACTTGGAAATGATTTCCGACAAATTACTTATTTAAACCCGTACTCTAACTTACGTTGATTTTCTTTCCAGGTTCTGTAAGTTTCCTTTTAAGTTGTTATACGCTGTGGCTTTTGTTTTCAAGTCTGTTTCAATCTGTGAAACTTGCTGGAAACAAAGGTTAGAATAACATACCGTTTATTCTTAAGAACTTGTCTTACACTTCCATCCAAATAAGTGGTACATGTAAAATGTTTTTTCTTATAACTCTTAAGATTCTTTGTGTAAAATCACAAGGAGCAAGTTTCAAACAATTCATTATATATTATATTTTCAATATTTTCAGTACATACATACAGCTCCCCTCCCCTCTATGGAACCCCTGACCCTGGGGCCTTGAAATTCACAATTCTGGTAGATTATCATAACTATATAGGTAGTTCATCTGCTTAATACCCAGGAGCAAAGAAGAAAATTTTCAAAGATTTAATGTATTTGCATTATATAATCAATAGAGCCCCGCCCTAACACCAGAATCCCTGACCCTGGGGTCATAAAATTTATAATTTTTAAAGAGGCATTCTTGCTCATCATAACTATTGTAACGTGCCCGAGGTATGAGGCTTTATAATTGATCAAATCTCCAATGAAGGAGATATATTTCATTGTAACCAATATATGTGGTACTTCCTGGTAATTTGTTATTTGGTAATCCTGGTTGATTTGGTAAGATAAATCCCTGTGTTGGTCAGTAAAATATTGCATTGCAGAGGCAAACAAGAGCACAACATAAGATAATTCAAGTTTCAGCAATAATTTAATAAAGGAATAACAGTTACTGTAATACTGATGACTGGAAAAACCAAATGAACAGTGGTGATAATACAATTGGTCAGACCGGACGTCACATAATTATGATTTGGTCACGCTATTATGATTTGGTAACGTTATTATGATTTGGTAAAGTGATGACTGTTGATTTTCCATAATAAATCAATTTGGTCAAATGTACACAATGGTAAAACTTCAAAGAGACTGTTGAATTCCTTAATAAATCTATTTGGTCAATATAATCTATAGTAAAAACTCCCCAACCGTTAGTTATATCAGTGTTTACGTACAAATTCTATTAAAGTTGTTGCGCAGACGTTCTGCAGAGTCAAACTGAAACTTCAGCGTCCGTGGCGACGCTTATATAGGGTAAACTACCGGACATGCGCAGTGCGCTTTACCTAACCAAAAGGGAAAGTATAGACCAAAATGGCAGACGATACTAACAACATCGCCGAAGTGGGACAAACCATGAAAAATACGAACAATGTGACGCCGAATCGTAAAACAAATACATAATAATAAAGAATGAAGGTAAGTTGCATAAAAATGTACAATACAAGTTGCGTATAAGTTAACAATAATAAAATAATGACGTTCGAGGACGGAGAACAATAACCTAAACCCCCCTTGTAAATTAGAATCTTCCGAATCGCCATGACCAAAAAGGAAAACAACGTGATCGACAGACACACATGAAAAACGGTATTTACGATCAATTTAAACAATGTACTGTAAGTAAAATGAAATAAACACTCATAATAAATACTGTTTCAATCATAAGAGTCCATAATTTTACGTATCAGTCCATATTTCCTCCGTGGTAAACTTGGTCATTTACCAAACATGAAAGTGTAGGATTTACCAAACATGGAATAATAGGAAGTACCAAACATCGTTTTATAGTACACTTGGTAATGTTTACAGTTCATTTATAATTGCTATAAGAGAAATCATGTACAAATAATGTTTACAAATAATTATACACATGTGACATATAGAGGGGGGGGTCTCAAAACACAAATATTTCACATTATCCCCTCCTTTGAAAAATTGTTCGTCCTCGAACAAAAAAAATATGTGAAAACAAGTAATGATTGTAGACAATTTAGTAATAAATAATTATAACGAAATATCAATTATCGACATATAGATTTATAACATGAAATAAAACAATTTTTCTTTTTACTCAGAAGACACAGAATCCAGTAATGTTTGCAGTAATGGCCCACTCAGATGAAGATTCAATCAATGGTAATATTGTATGAATTATCACACAGTTATAATTACACATATCATAAAATATCAAAAGTAAAACATGATCCATTACAAAAATGGTCATCATTCCTTTCAATAAAATAAATATTTTCAAAAATCCATCCCCCTCCCAAAGCATACTCAAATTGCTTATAATTCTAACAAATACCCTTAATAATATAAAAGTCTTTATACCTATACCATATAGTCTCACAGTCCATAAGTCAGCATCATCATCGTGAAGGAAGAAAGTTTGTTTCGCATCACACAGAATTTCTGTTTCCCTTAACTTCCACAAGTTAGAGTATAAATTGGCGGTTACCACATCTGATTGACATCTCTGGCGATCACATCAAATTAGTCTATTAATCAGGTTAATATATCTGGAATGCCTGTAACAAGGAGTTGATGATCTGTTTTAATACTGTTCATAATTATAAGATCTCTGATTGTAGGTGGTTACCCAAGATGTAGGGTAGAGTGTCACTTGACAGCTAGAACATTATGGCATGCAGGCAGGAGTCTTGGTTTGCATTTATCCTTCCTGTGCTGATCAGACTGCATGTGGACTTGTATCAAACTTTTTCAAACAACCATGGATCAGTGCTGTATATTCTTAAGGGCACTCATATAGAAAGGTAAACAGGTCTGGTAAAAGTAATATAATCATATGTGATGTCCAATCAGTCAGTTGACTATCGTTAATTCATGACAATTCTGAATGTTCGTAGAAAATTTTACAGTTTGAACTTTTCCATAACACTCTTTGAGAAGATTAAGGTGTACTGCTTAATCGCCACTGTCATGTTGTACTGTATCCTGTACTCTAGGTCACTAAGTTTATTTTATTTATTAAACTGATGGTATAATGTCACTCCAATGTTTTAGTAAATTTTGGATAGATGCCACTCTTCTGCTTTTTATGAGAAAGCCATGTGGTTCTGTCTTGAAGGAAACTTGTTTTGCATTATGATCATAATGAATCGATGTATCTGTCTGTAATTAGCTTTAAGCATTTTCAATTACAGTCAATTCTCGAATTATCGCCATTCGATTCATCGCCATTTTCGCTATACCGCCATGATTTCCCAAGAACGTTTTTCCTGCTATATAAAATTCTCTTTATAACGCCAAATTCGCATACCGCCATCCGCCACCCTGTTTTCACAACAAACGTCCATTTTTAAGTGTCAATTATTTCGATATACCGCCATAGGTGCGTGTGGTCAGTGAAGCGCGGTTAATTGGTTGACACTATCCCTGTTGTAAAGCATGTAAAGGCAGGCAATGTACAAGCAATTACGTAATTAAACAAGAACTAAATAAACAAGAATTTTAACATGAACTGTTCTAATAATTTTGTTTTCTGTTGAATAAGATTCATATAGTCACGGCTTTGCCACGAAAGCGGTCGTTGTTAAACTACGCCGATAACTATATTATTTAGATTTTCTCTGCTTTAAACAATGCAAAGTTTGCTGAAAAAATAATTATTAATACATTATAAATTGTGAATTTTGAATTGACAATGTTGCCATATATAAACAATATTATTCAAGAATTCATTTTACTCACTATCGGCAATATATCACGACGATTTACCCAGCATGTTTTTTTTTAAAGCAGAACTGCAGATTTAAATGCACACCCATGTACTTGTCTTTATTTTTATAACTGCACATATTGTTTCATATATATAGCGAATTTGTACATTAAAAAAATTACTTGAAGTATTTTCAATCAGAAATATATGTTTTTAAATACTGTAAACCAACTTTTATTCGCGACGACTTTATTTCGCGATTTACCAGGGGAAAACTATTTTGCGACGATTAATTTTCGCGATCAAGCTGATTTTGGATCTGTTATTAATGTACACAGAGACTTTAAGACCGATTCACGGCGAGAAATATTCGCGATGACAAGGCTCTCGCGAACTTCGCGAAAATTTCTCGCACGCGAATAAAAGTTGGTTTACAGTACATGTACATATAATAATAAGAACATAAACGCTAAATGGTATTTCTAAGAACGGTAACTCTACTTCTTGTTTTCCAGAAGATGGGAAATTCAATTCATCGCCAAATTGGTTATACCGCCATGATTTCTAAATTACAAAAGGTGGCGGTAAATGCTTTGTTATTATTGTAATTCTGTGTCACTTTATTGTTTTCATATTCGTCTTTATTTCATTTCACTTTGACTTTTACCATTCTTCATTTTGTCTTTACTTCTATGTTGCTTTATTTTTTTTTAATTCATTCTACTTTCTTTTAAACTTAAACAGTTTCTTAAATAAATTAACAGCATTATCTCTACTACGAATGTTAATTCAATCACGCTAACATTGAAGCATATTCAATGAAGACGAATGGAAGTTGTCAGCATTATAACACTAGGTGGTGTGGTGTTCACTACGAGTGTTGGTAAAACTAGGTAAGCAAACCCGTGCTGGGGTTATTTGAGATTCTTCAATAGGCCTTAGTACTTTATCAATCGAACTTCTGAAGGCCGGATCCGATCACCCGATTCAATGATGGAAACTCCATATTTATTTTCTCTGGGTATACAGGAATACCAGCCTCTTTTTTTCAGACATAACTTTATACTATACTGAATATGTTCATTAGGTATAGTAGGAAGAAAATTTAAATTTGATTCTATAGAAGAAGTTGAATCTAACTCAAAACCCACCCCGCCCCCGAAATAGGATTTTATTGGCGTCGGAAGCTAATTGAAAGTGGGGGGGGGGGGGGGGGTAATTATAAGATTTCTTTTTAGACCTTCAAAAAAAACCTGAAAAAAAAAAAGAAATGTCCATTTTCCAAACACAAAAATCCTATTTCGTGAGAAGGGGGGGGGGGGGGGGGGGTTTGAAGGTTCGAACTCCAGTGCCAAAGTTTTTTTTCCCCAAATTCCACTACTTTCCCCATCTTAAACCTTTACTGCATCGTGTCCATGGAAAGTGGGGTGTGGTGGGGGTGGGGGCTAAACCTACGCAGGAATGTTCAATGTCTATACTAAGTCTATCTTTGGAAAGAAGTGGGGGCTAAGCCCCTCTCCCCCCTCCCCGGTTCTGACGCCTATGTATTTTCAAG